TTTCATCAGTGATTTAACACTTTTCAGAGTAAAGGTCTTTCACTTCTTTGGTTAGGAATAAGCCTAACCAAAGAAGTGATTATTTTGGGTGCAATCATAATGGGTTTGCTTTCTTAATTTCTCTTCCTGCTGCTTCATGATTGGTGTGTAGAAATGCAACACATTTCTGTATATTAACTTTGTATCCTGAGACTTTACTAAATTTGTTTATCAGTTCTAGAAGCTTTCTGGTGGCGTCTTTCAGGTTTTCTATATAAACTATCATGTCATCTGCAAATAGTGAAAGTTTTACTTCTTCCTTACTGAATGGATGAATTTTTGTTATTGTTATTGTCTAATTGCTGTGGTTAGGACTTCTAGTACTATGTTGAATAAAAGTGGTAAGGGGCACCTTGCCGGCTCATTTGGTAGAGCATACAGCTCTTGATTTTGGGGTCATGAGTTTGAGCCCTATGTTGGCTGTAGGGATTGTTTAGATAAATATATTTTTAGAAATGATATTTATTTGTTTGTTTGTTTGTTTGTTTAGAAAGTGAACATGCATGAGAGTGAGGGAAGGGCAGAAAGAGAAAGAATCTCAAGCAGGCTCCATGCCCAGAGCAGAGCCCTACATGGGGCTCAATCTCACAACCCCAAGATCATCATCTAAGCTGATACCAAGAGTCTGATGCTTAACCAACTGAGCCACCCAGGTGCCCCATAATTTTTTTTAAGTGGTGATAGTAGACATCCTTGTCTTGTTCCTGACATTAGGGGAAAAGTTCTCAGTTTTTCCCCATTAAGGATGATGTTAGCTATGGGTTTTTCATATATGGCCTTTATTATATTCAGGTATATTCCCTCTAAACCTACCTTGTTGAGGATTTTTATCATGAATGGATGTCGTACTTTGTCAAATGCTTTTTCTGCATCTATTGAAATGATCTTATGGTTCCTATCTTTTTTCTTATTGATGTGATATATATCACATTGATTGATTTGGCAGTATTGAACCACCCTTGCAATCCTGGAATATATCCCACTTGATCATGGTGAATGTTTTTTTTTGGTTTTGTTTGTTTGTTTGTTTTACTGTATTATTGAATTTGGTTTGATAGTGTTTTGTTGAGAATTTTTGCATCTATGATCATCAAAAATATTGGCCTGTAGTTCTCTTTTTTAGTGGTGCCTTTATCTGATTTTGGTATCAAGGTAGTGCTGGCCTCATAGAATGAATTTGGAAGTTTTCCTTCCTTTTCTATGTTTCGGAATAGTTTGAGAAGAATAGGTTAAATCTTCTTTAAATATTTGGTAGAATTCACTGTGAAGCCATCTCTTCCTGGACTTTGTTGGGAATTTTTGGATTTCTGATTCAATTTCTATGCTGGTTATTGATCTGTTCAAATTTTTTATTTCTTCCTGTTTCAGTTTTCATAGTTTATATGTTTCTAGGAATTTATCCATTTTCTAGGTTGTCCAATTTTTTGGCATTTAGTTTTCATAATATTCTCTTATAATTATTTTTATTGCTATAGTGGTTGTTATTCCTCCTCTCTCCCTTGTGATTTTATTTGTTTGAGTCCTTTCCCTTTTTTTCTTGACAAGTTCGGTTAGAGTTTTATCGATTTCATTGATTTTTTTTTTCAAAGAACCAGGCCAAGGTTTCATTGACGTGTTCTTTTGATATTTAGTTTCTACATCATTTATTCTGCTCTAATCTCTATTATTCCCTTCCTTCTGCTGGTTTAAGATTTTGTTTGTTGTTCTGTTTTTAGCTCCTTTCAGTGTAAGAATGTTTATTTGAGATTCTTTTTCCTTCTTGAGGTAGGTCTATATTGCTATAAACTTCCCTCTTAAAACTGCTTCTGCTATATCCCAAAGGTTTTAGAATGTTGCATTTTCATTTTAATTTGTTTCCATGTACCTTTTTATTTCCTTCTTTAATTTCCTGGTTGGCCCACTCATTGTTTAGTAGCATGTCATTTAACCTCCATGTTTTTGTGAATTTTCCATACTTGTTCCTGTGATTGACTTCTAATTTCATAGTGTTGTGGCCAGAAACTAGGCATGATATGAGTTTGATTTTCTTGAATTTGTTGAGGCTTTTTTTGTGGCCTAATATGTTATCTATTCTCGAGAACATTCTGAGAGGATTTAAAAAGAATGTGTGTTCTGCTTTTTTAGGATGGAATGTTCTGAATATCTCTGGTAAATCCATCTAGTACAGTGTATCATTCAAAGCCATTGTTTCCTTGTTGGTTTTCTGTTTACATGATCTATTGATGTAAGTGGGGTGTTAAAGTCCCCTACTATTATTGTATTATCATAGATTAGTTGCTTATGTTTGTTATTAACTGTTTTATGTATTTGGGTGCTTTTTGTTGAGTGCATAAATATTTACACTTGTTATACCTTTTTGTTGGATTCTCCCCTTCATTATTATATGTCCCCTTCTTTGTCTCTTTTTACAGTCTTTTTTTTTAAGTATCGTTTTGTCCAATATAAGTATTAGCTATCCTGGTTTTCTTTTGACACCTATTTGCATGATAAATTTTTCTTCATCCCTTCACTTTCAATCTGGTGTTTTTAGGTCTAAAAAGAATCTCTTGCAGGCAGCATACAGACAGGTCTTGTTTTTTTATCCATTCTGTCACCCTATGCCTTTCGATTGGAGTGCATAATCAATTTACATTTAATTATTAATAGATATGTATTTATTGTCATTTTATTATTTGTTTTGTGGTTGTTATCTGCTTTTGTTGATTTTGTTGGGAGATCTCTGTGCCTCCTGGATCTGGATGTTTCCTTCCCCAGGTTAGAAAGTTTTCATCTATTATTTCTTCAAATAAATTTTCTGGCCCCTTTTCTCTCTTTTCTTCTGGGATCCCTATAATATGAGTGTTATTACATTTGATGGAGTCACTGATTTCCCTAAGTATATTCTCATTTTGCATAAATCTTCATTCTCTCTTTTGTTCAGCTTGATCACTTTCCATTACTCTGTTTTCTAGGTCATTAATTCATTTCTCTGCTTCTCCCAGTCTGCTATTCACTCTATCAATGTGCCTCTCTTTTAGTTTATTGAACCTTTTATCTCTGCTATGCTATTCCTCATCTCTGTGTTAAGGGTCTCATTCATGTCTTCCACTCTTTTTTTGAAGTCTAGTGAATATCTTTATGTTTATTACTTTAAATTCTGTACCAGGCATGTTACTTTTATCTGTTTCACTCAGATCTATGGCCATGACCTTGTCCTGTATCCTTTGTCTTCTCATTTTGTCAAAGTCTGTGTGACTGCTTCTCTGTGTTAGGAAATTCAGCTACTTCTCTTGTTCTTGAGGGTAATAGCCTTATGAAGAAAAGGTCTTGTGGTGCTCTACAATACAATGGCCCCTGTTCCTCAGGGACTGGCACTTCAGGGAGTATCTCCAGTGTGTGCTGCCAGTGCTCTGCTATTGTGCCCTGGATGCTTTATCCTTTAGGCCAATCATCTATAGAGGTTATCTTTGTCTGTTGTGTGCAGTGTTTGGTTTCCAGCCTGAATGTGGTGCATTTTGAGTAAGTATGGTCTGGTCTGCTTGTGAAATGAGACCTTTTGCCACCACCTCCAGAATCAAGGCCCCACAAAACTCCTGGGTCAGGAGATGGGGTGTCAGCAGGGGTTTGGGCCAGTCTTCTTGGGGAGGGGGACCACCAAGATGGGATTTAGGCAAGGGTGACTGGGAAGGGCAGTTCCACTGGATTGCAGGGGAATGACTTGGTGTAAGCAAGTTAGGTAGTGAGTGTCAGTGTTGGGCTGCTTACCACAGGTAGCTCTGTGTTTATGCTGAGGGGTGGTATGGGGGAAGGGTGCCTGCCAGTTCCTTTGTTCTTGGAAGAGCCTCTCTGTGAATGTTGCCTCTCTGGGACACACTCCAAAGTGAGCAGATACCTCTCCACTGTGTGCCCCAGGCACTCTTCAGCTCACTGTTTCCATGCTACATGTCCATGAGTTGTTTGCCTGCCTTCTCTCCAAGAGTAGCCCCCTCTATCCTTCTGGAGCCAAGTCTGCTGACCTTTAGAACCCCACGCTTTAAGCCCCACTGGTTGCAAAAACTCATGAAATTCAGCCCCTCTCACTTTCCAAGCCAATTGTTATGGGGTTTCATTTTCCCTGTGCACTCCCCTATGTGTTAGCCTATCTGTCGCATCTCCACAACAGCAACTCCTCCCACCACACCACAGCAGCTATGATCCATTTCTATCCCAGACTGCATCTCCACACCTCCTACCTTCTTCAATGTGGCCTCTTCTCTCCCTTATTTGTGGAGTTTTTTTCTGCCAGTCTTCAGGTTAATCCCTGGGGTATTTAGGATGATTTGATAGTTAATGTAGTTGTATTTGTGGGATGAGACGAGCCTAAGATCCTCCTACTCTGCCACCATCTTCCCATCTCATAAATTCTTTTCAGATTTATTTTAAATAACACTCCTGATAGTCTCTTTAGACAACGACTTAGCCACTGATAAAGTGTAAAATAATAAAGGTAAAATCAGTCCCTATCCAGATTATCCCCACATTCCCTACAGCTGAAGACAAGATTAAACATTTACCAAATTTGTTACTTGGCTAGTAAAGGAAAATTTTGTCATTTTATTTGAATGGAGATAAAAACCTTTCTATATTTTTTAGAAGTCTAACAGTAGTACTTGTTTAAACTTCTTGAAGTTATTTCAAAACTGTTTTTCATCCTGCTGAGGTCAAGTCACCTTCTCACATGGGATTATCTTCTATTTCATGTATAAGCTTGATGGTAAAAAAAAACAAAAAACAAAAAACAAACAAACAAACAAACAAAAAACAGTCTCTTAAAGGAAAGTGAAGCAGACAGTCTTTTTTGTTATTCTAAGTGTACTGTCATGGAAAATCCCAGTGTCACTAATATGATAGTAGATACGTTTTTGGGAAATGAAATCTATTGCTTTTTCATAGCTGAATACTTATATTCTTAGCTGAATAATCATTATGTTCTTGTTCCTAAGGTATGAAATAATGAATTTCAAGGAAATGGGAAAAGATTATTTTGATTATATCAATGTTGGAAGCTGGGATAATGGAGAATTAAAAATGGATGATGATGAAGTATGGTCCAAGAAAAACAACATCATCAGATCTGTTTGCAGTGAACCATGTGAGAAAGGCCAGATAAAGGTAAAATAAAGTCCATGTTTTTTAAATTGTTTTGTAAATTCAAAAGTATTCACTGTCATTGGCTATTTCTGTAACTTTTAGATACTTGTCTTACCTTTTACATTATAAGCTTCTAACGTCAAAAAAAAAATTTTTTTTTACTTTTCTCTCATTAATTCCTTTTGATAGTATGACCTATAGTAGTCTTAGTAATTGGACTGATTGAACCAATTGACAGTTGAGTCATGTTTATCCACACTCTTTGTACTCATGTAAGCCTTTTAAGGACATGCTCCTGGGGATAGATAGTTAGCAGTTGGAAAACACATTAATTCCTAATTAACTTAACAAATATTTGTCAAACTATTACAAATGTAATAGTTTATATCAGTGGGGAAAAAATAAGTAACACACATTTACTGCCAGAAGAATTGTAGTCTAGCTGAGGAAAAGTACCATAAGGCACAGATAAGCAACATCATATAAAATGTGATGATTTCATTAAGTTCACATAAAAGAATGGGAGAGATTACTTCTGAGTAAAATGTTAGACATTGGACCATGAAGAATGGATATGATTTCAGAGCGAGATGTGGGAAAATGATCACTCACATAGAGGGAACAGTAATAGGAAAGATACAGAAGTGGTCGATTGAAGAATGTTCTGGAATAATAGTGAATAATCTAGAGTTCATTGCTTTAAATGGTTATTATAAAAGAGAAAGTCAAAATGATAAATTGAAGCCATATTGTGGAGAGTTTTGAATGGCATACTAAGCAGATTGAACTTAATTTTTATTAACCAGGAGTCAGGATAATTTTGACAAAGATGTTGACATAAACTAGGCTATAGTAGGTAAAGATGCATAAGTAGTTATAAACATGAATAGAGAAAGAAGAGACAAGTAAGGACACTGATAGTGATAACAAGAATCCTGCATTATGGAAGAAACAGTGAGAATGGAGAGGGAACAGGGGAGGTATTTGAGAGAAACATTATATATATATAGGTATACTTAATCAATGCTGGCTACCAACTGGAGGTCAGATTGGAGAAGAAAAAGAAGTCCAAGACAACTGCAATTTCAAGTCTTAGTAACTAGAAAGTCAAGCATAGAAAAATGGAAATGGTTTAAGAAAAAAGACAATGGGTTAATTTGGCAGCCTATTGGTTTTGAGATATCTATCCAGTGATAGAAAACATTGGTCTACAACAATGAGAAATAAGGCTGATGATACAGAGTGAATTGAATAGAGCTAAAGTTGGAGCCGTTTAGAGTAGGTAAGTCACTGAACCGGAAAGTATACAGAGGAAATAAATGTGGACCAAGAACAGACACTGAAGATATACTTTGAAAGCATAAAGGAGGTAAGGGGAGGGTCCCTCCAGTGGTTCAGTCAATTGAGTGTCCAACTTCAGCTCAGGTCATAATCTGATGGCTCATGATTTCGAGCCCCGCATTGGGCTGTGTGCAGATGGCTTGGAGCCTGGAGCCTGCTTTAGATTCTGTAGTCTCCCTCTCTCTCTGCCCCCTCCTGCTTGTACTCTGTCTCTCTCTCTCTCTCAAAATTAAACATTAAAAAAAGCCTAAAGGAAGAAGAAAAGGTAGGGAATGAGGGACAACAGGGCCAGGGAGAGATAGAGAACCAGAAAGCAAGCTGTCATGCAAGGTGGTAGCCAGTGGAAAAGAGAGGTCAAGGAAGAGAAGCACTGAGGGAAAGACAAGAAAATTAGGGTTAGCCCTTCACCTGGGCCTTCTGGAAACAGAAGCTTGTAGATTAAAACAATAGAATGGTAACTGAGCAAGAAGAAGTATGTAATGAAAAGCAGTTAAGGGGCATGTATGATAGTTAAGGACATTGAAAAGTTACTTTTAGGCTAAGTGAGTTCTGGCCACACTTCCAGGAAATAAAAAGTCAGTGAAAGAGAGAATGAAGATATAATAAAAATAAAAGTCAGTGAAAGAGAGAATGAAGATATAATAAAAATAAAAGTCAGTGAAAGAGAGAATGAAGATATAATAAAAATAAAAGAAGTTTAGCTATTGAGGTATAATGCCCTAGGGGAAGAAAAATGATATCAAATTATTCATCAAATATTTATTGAAGTACTAGACTACCACACTTCAGGCAGTGTATATACCTGGAGCAGTCAGCCTTGGTCTTTTCAGTCAATCTCATGTTTACTCTGTTTAGAACATTTGAGGTGTTTATTCATTGGTGATTACAAATTAAATGGAAATAATTCAGTGTCAACTGTAAAACCTTCAAGGGGTAGTTCTGAAGATTTGGTAAGCATAAGACCAGAAGGAAGAAAGACAAGGTAAATAAAGATAAATAGACATTCATATTATCTGCTAAATGGCACAATAGCTTATGGAGTATCTAAATATTTCTGTATGTTTTGGTATGGTATACAACACAGGTTAATAAAACATAACCCATGTGCCAAATCCAGCCTACTGCTTGTTTTTGTAAATAAAGTTTTATTGAAGTACACCATGCTCATCTGTTTATGTGTTGTCTATGCCTGCTTTTGTGCTACAATAAATGGAATTTATCAGTTGAGTTGAAATAGAGACTGTATGGCCGACAAAGACAAAAATATTTACTTTGCAGAAAAAGTTTCCTAACCTTTAATATTCAGTGACAGGCTGCATCTTGCCCAGTCATCTTGCAATTAGATTCTGTATGTGAAATTATTTTTAGACTCACTCAGAATATTGATTGTTCATAATTTCCATTTCCTCCTGTAGAAAGATTGGCCTGGATAAATTACCACATGGACATTGTTTGTTTTGACCTTTCACAGCAATACAGTTTGAACCTGTAACTTCAAAATGCTGAATGGCTGATTTGTGAGGTTTTTTTTATATGTACTTTTCTACCCCATTCTACTGGGAATAACTTACACAATGGAAGAATTTGACTCCCTGTTATCATATTTTTAATACTAGTTATTTTTTAATGTTTAGTCTTTTGTTAATCCCAAATTTTATTTTCCTAATCACGTATTATTTTCACTGTACTAAATATACAAGTGACAATATTTTCTTAGTATGGCTTAATGTTGTCATTGAGCAATTTTATTAAAGATGTCAACATCTCATGCCATCTTTCAGATTTGTTAACTTAGCGTCCATGCAAGTACACTTGGTCTAGCAAAGGTTCAAATATGTTACATATTGTTATTCACAAAGAAAGCACAGCTACTTCCAGGATCTTCAAAAAGAATGGGAGTCACGATGTTACAGAATTGTCACTACCTTTTCATGAATGTGAAACAGAACATATATAATATGTGAAAAAAAAAGTAAAATCAATTCTAAACAGAAGAAATACCAAGTTGTCACCACTGATGTAAAAAAAAAAAGACTATAATATTGGAATTATTCTTAGAACAGGAAATGATTTTATTTTGGTAAAAAAAAATGAAATTTACAAACCAATGCAAACTAAAGCACAGGAACTGAGCATATTTCTAGAAGGAAAAAAATGCAGCTGCTTTGTTTGCCATGCCCTCCTAAGAAAGAGAATCCTTCAGTATTTCAGATGTGCTTGTTTGCATTACAAAATCTAATAATTGTCCAACAATAGTTTTAAAGTATGGTTGAAATTACCTTAAAATGACATTTTTTCTCTATATAAATATTCATATGCATATTACTAATAAAACAGTTAACATTGTTAGAGTGTCCTACAGTTTACAAATCACTGTGCTATTAATCATCAGGAAACCCTATAAAGCTAGATATTACATGTAAAGCACTGGTCTTGGTTTGAAGAAGTCAGTCAATCAGCTGTGGAACTGTTCAAAGCTACACAACTATTTACTGGCTATAAGTAAGACCAGAACCCTGGTGCCTCTTGATTCTCAAGTCCAGGACTCTTGCACTGCATCTTTCAAAATATCATGAACTCTATTGTTTTTACGTTTTTATTTTAATTGCAGTTAGTGAGCATATTAGTTTCAGGTATGCAACATAGTGATTCAACAATTCCATACCTCTCCAGGTGCACATCACCCACAAGTGCACTCCTTAATCCCTATCACCTATTTAACCCATCTTCCCACCCCCCTGAACTCTATATAGACCAATAAGGCACAACATTTATGAACATGAGTCTTGAAGTCCAACAGGCATTGTTTGATCCTTCATTTGCCCATATGTGTTATCTAAGCTCACCACACTTCAGTTTTCTCCCCTTAAAAAAAAAGAATAAAATAAAACCAACCATCTTATTACAGAGCTACTCTAATGTTTTAGTGAGATAACAGTATATGGCATGCAGAAAATAGCCATTAGTCAGTATTATTATGAAGACTACTTTAGGTAGATTAAGCAGGTCTAATTAGCAACGCTGTCTTACTTATCTGTTTATTTTAAGGAAGGGACCATTCAGACCCTTCTGTCATTCTCTACTTGTGTGGTGGCAGTGTCAAGAGTCGGCAAAAGGGATAGGAAATATATAAGAGGTGCCAGCTTACAATTGTATATGGCTACAGATATCTAGACACTGTTACTATTGAAGGTCATTAATAGAGTCAGCATGGAGGACAAGGAATATGCAGTGTAATCATTGCTGTGTCTGGTTATTGCTGGTTATTAATCACAGTTTTAATTATTTATAAGAATGTTTAATGAATGCTGTCTCTATTCCACAGAGGCTATTCATGCACCAGTGGTGGAAAAAAAATAAAAGACATCCATTTCTAAAGAATAACATCTGGGACTCCTTCAACTGTTAAATTATTTCAATTATTTTCCATTGCCTTAAAAAAATCAAACAGATGAAGAGGTATATAATAGTCTCAATGACCTTATCCACCATCATCCCAAGCAAATCAAAGCTACTAGAATAGGAAGGAATGGGCTGTGAATTATTGAACCAGATTTTCATTAGAAATAGAGACCAAGAGATGAACTCCAGAAAAAAAATTCATGTTGAGTCTCTTAATTCAATAGGAATTCCTGAGGATTTTTTTATCATATAAGTAGACTTTTGAACTTTAGCAGGTATACAATGTTTCTTGCTAACAATTATTCAACTGATGGAAGGAGCCAAGATAAATTTAGAGAGCAAAAGTTTTTAATTTGAGGGAAAACAGAAGACTCTGGGGAAAATTCAGTTATATACATACAAGTATAAATGAGTGTGTATTTATATATAAGTACACACACAGACGTTTCATTAAATATAGATATCTAAAGCTAAGTACCCAAAGACTGTATTGATTTTTTTCAATATATGAAGTTTATTGTCAAATTGGTTTCCATACAACACCCAGTGCTCATCTCAAAAGGTGCCCTCCTCAATACCCATCACCCACCCTCCCCTCCCTCCCACCCCCCATCAACCCTCAGTTTGTTCTCAGTTCAAAGACTTGTATTTAATTTAATTCTAAACCCTGTCACCAACCAATTTTATGATGTGGGACTAATTGCTTAAACTCAGCTTCAGTTTCTGTGATTATAAAATGAGAATATTAATAAACACACTACCTATTTGATAACATTTGAAATAATTTATGTTAAAGCCATTTCTGCTTTGTAAAGCAGCATATTTGAATAACAGATTGCTGGATTTTCATCTATACAAAAAAATAATCAAAACTTTAAATATTTACCTTAGGTGATCCGGAAGGGAGAAGTCAGCTGTTGTTGGACCTGTACACCCTGTAAAGAGAATGAATATGTCTTTGATGAATACACCTGCAAGGCGTGCCAGCTGGGGTCGTGGCCCACTGATGACCTTACAGGTATACGTATCACAATGTCAGCATGGATACATGCTTCAAAAATTAACTGAAAAAGGATATACACATGGAGGAGGTCACATCTCAAGTATTTCTCATCTTGGTGGTATTGTTCACATGACAAAGAATTCCCTTAGGGACAGAAGCCTTCCCAATGCATGGGCTAATCTCAAAAATCTTTATATCTCAGGGAGAGATTGGTCAATATTCCTGCTCACACCCCCAAAGTAGATCAGAATTCCTAGGTTTTCTACTGGACATTTTCAGCCCATCCTCAGAAGAGTCTCAGAAGGTCCTAGGCAGGTTCCCAGTTAACCATCTATTTGAGGTGGAGAGGGGGAGCTGTTAGCCAATAAAAGACTAAAACATATGACATATCCAAGAGACAAACAGCACAGAGTTGGGTGGAAGTTGGTCTCAAACTTTGCTACTCTTAGTAATTTTCCTTCTAAACCAGGAAGCTCCAACAAATGAGTTTTAGAATAATGTTGGAACAGGGTAAAACTTATCTCTACTTGTTTTTTTGTTTTTGTTATTGTTGCTTGTTTGCTTTCTTTGTTTGACTTTTGTGTTGTTTGGGTTTGGGTTTTTTTTTCCTCCAAAAATGTTAAGGAATATGTCATTGTGTTCTCAAGATTATAGTTCATGGCTATTCCTAATTTTTCCAATGTAAAAACAGAATATAATACCTTTCATCCTTCCTTCCAATTATGCAATAAAAATTTATTACATGCCTGTTTGCCCACCATTGAAATAAAGATATAGAAATAATGATGCAAACTCTATCTTAAAGAAGTTAATATGGGAAGCAAAAGGTAAAAATATGATTACAATATTATTAAAGGGCACAGATTTGTGGACATGGAATATGAGGAAAGGACCTATAGGAGTAGGTCTTCAAGGAAAGTAAGAGACAAACAGTCTAGGCAGAGGGCCCACTATGTGGGATGTCAGATCATCTAGTGATTCGACAATTAACACAGATTTAGTACCAAACTCCTAGAGGCTAGAAGATTATAAAATCATCACTGTTAGACTCCATCCCTCACAGGATGAGAGATTAGCCATGATAGTTATATTAGCAATTCCAAAAGCCTGGTTCTAAAAATCCTGTGATCCTGGGCCTTTTGAGACCAGCTTACATTAAGGCTTTGTTTCAGTGATTGTCAGTGATTGGTATTTATACAGAAGACTTCTTTTTTCTTAAAAAGTAAAAAAAAAATCTGATTTAATATAACATCCAAGTGCCTTCTGATAGCACTTGAGTCCTGTTTTCACCATTAGACATTGAACTTTCTGATAACTCATACATCCCGGTATCCCTAGAGCCAACTCAGTGCTAAACATAAAGCCTGCAATAAACGTAGTTGAATGAATGAGCTACAGCACACACACACACACACACACACACACACACACACACAAATTGTGTTTAATATAAAGTAAAAGAGCTAGAATAAAAATGAAAATATTAGGGAAGATACAATTTAAATTTGTAGTTATAAAAGTTCTCTTTGAAGAAATGGACATTAGTTGAGGCCTGAGTAACAAATAGAAATAGCTAGCCAAGAATGGTGAAAAGGGCATTTCTGTCTAAGGGAAAAGCACACCTAAGGTCTGCCTATGTGGAAACAAATGGGAAAATCAGAAAGGTAGCAGGAACTAGATCATGTATAACCTCATAGCACATGTTCAGGATTTGAATGTTTGATATAAAGTATAATGAGAAACCATTGCATGGAGTATAGCAGAAGAAGAAAGCCCAATATGATTGAATGTATATTTTCAAAAATATAATTCTAGTAGCTGTGCAGGAGAATGATTTGGAGGGGGATGGAAAGCAGGAGAAGGGACACAGGTTGGGTGGTTACAGCATGTTGCCATTGCAGGCAAGAGTTCTTGGTGTCTTGGACTAAACGAGATACTAAGTAAGGGAACCAAATTTTCTGCTTTGAAAACTGAAGAAATAAATGCATTCTTTGATAAAGACCAGTAGTTTGGTTTAAGACAAGATCCGTTTGACATAAAATTTGAGATTTTCAAATATGACTTAATTAATTTAACAAATGAAGTCTGAATTAATTTAACAAACTCCTTAGTTTGAGCCAGAAAATGTAGTAAGAACTAAAATTCAAAATGCAATCTAAGTTTTCAGTAAACTTAAAATCTAGTGGAAGAAAAATATGTAAATAGTAACAACACAGTATACTAACTGCTGCAGGTAGATAAGGAATGAACAAAGTATTATGGAAGAATGAAGGAGGGCATACTTAAGATGGGAGAATTCCAGAAAGCTTAATCATGAAGCATAATTTTCAGCTCACTTTTTAAAAAGTGAAGAAGATAATATTAGAGTGTGCCAGATCAAGGCTTTTAATGGCACCACCATTCTCCTAGATGGTGAGCAAAACCAAGGGAGCCATCCTAGACTCTTCTCTATGCCAGGCCACGCATATCCAGTCACTGGTCAAGCCCAGCTATTTGAGTTGCTAAATATTCTTATTCCCTCCTTTCTTCTCCCTTTGTACAACTCTTCCCTTGATTAGGTTCTCAGATTTCACACTCGACCCTTGCAGTAATTTCCCAGTTGATTTCACTTCTCCCAAATGTATGCCACATGCCTCTAAGTCTGCTTTTCATCTTGCTGCTGGATAATGTATCCAAAGTACAGATTTGTCCCATTTACTTCATTGCTCAACACTTACCAGTGTTTTCATATCTCTACAGGATATATTCCAAATTTTTCTTTTTTTTTTTTTTAATTTTTTTTTTCAACGTTTATTTATTTTCTTTGGGACAGAGAGAGACAGAGCATGAATGGGGGAGGGGCAGAGAGAGAGGGAGACACAGAATCGGAAACAGGCTCCAGGCTCTGAGCCATCAGCCAGAGCCCGACGCGGGGCTCGAACTCACGGATCGCGAGATCGTGACCTGGCTGAAGTCGGACGCTTAACCGACTGCGCCACCCAGGCGCCCCTATTCCAAGTTTTTCAACATGGCATTCAGAATTCCCTCTCTTCCCCACCCTCTTACAATCTTTCTAGTTTCAATCAGTACCACTTTACAAATCTTTATGATTTTGCCTTCTAGTATCAAGGGCTGTTTAAATACTTGTCTACATACAATGCCATTTTATTCTTCCATGCCCATACATGTGTTATCTTCTCTGCCTGGAAGGTACTTACTCCTCCTCCTTTACTTGAGTAACTCCTACTCACCCTTCCTTATTCTGTTCAGATGTCACCTCTATGAAATCTCTCTTGATGTACTTAGACTGATAAGCCCCCTATTCTGTATTTCTAAAACAAATTCTGCTTCCCTCTTTACATCAGTTTTCAAATTGGATTTTAATGGTCTTTCTCCTTATCTGCCTCTTCTACTGAATCATTAGTTTCTCAAGGACATAACTGTATCTCAATCGTATTACCATTCCCAGCATGTAACAGAATGCCTGGCACAGAGCAGGCACTCAGTCAATGTATGTCAACCTGCAGGAAAATTATGGGGAGTGTAACAAATGAAAATGAAAGCAGGTATTAGGGTCATCCTGTGAAAATAGCTATTAACTAAGGAGTTTGAACTTTTTCCTGTAAACAGTGGAGGGACAGGGTCTCCTGGGTGGCTCAGTCGGTTTAGTGTCCGACTTCAGCTCAGGTCATGATCTTGCAGTTTGTGAGTTCCAGCCCTGCATCAGGCTCTATGCTGACAGCTCAGAGCTTGGAGCCTGCTTTGGATTCTGTGTCTCCCTCTCTCTCTGCCCCTCCCCCGCTCATTCTCTCTCTCTCTCTCTCTCTCTCTCTCTCTCTCTCTCCTCTCTCTCTTTCAAAAGTTAAATACAGATTTAAAAAAATTTTTTAAAAATCAGTGGAGGGACAGTGGAGGTTTTCAAGCAGAAGAATGAAATGTTTTTCCTCTGGCTATATGCATACATGTGAGTTTGTGCGTATGTGAGGGTAGAGGAGAAGAAGGTAGGGGGAATAAATGCCAAACTTAGAAAGGTCTCCACATTGATATTATGTGAAGTTTAACCTTTAATTGAGATCTACAGAATTTTCCCAAGGAGCCTATAGCTGTTTGCAACCCTATCTCACTGACCCTGATTCAAAGTAACAGATCACTTGGGGCTGCTCCTAGCCAGAAGACTGCTCTGATGACTTCAGCTCTTCCAAAGCTGCCACAGAGAAGCTTGGGGCTAGCTTCAGGGAGTATTTTAATTCTTTCTTCTACCCACTTAGTTACCCTACTTCAGCCTATGACAGCTCAGGTCACCTTTGGGTCAGTACCCTCATGGTGATAATGGATAGCAACTAACACATACATTATGCTTTCTATATGTGTGAAAGGAGAACTGTTTGAAACATTTTACAAATGTTAATTTAGTTAATCCCAACACAATCCTGTAAAACTGTTAGTGTGGTTAAGAGATTTGAGCCTACTAACAACTGAATGATTATTTAGAAAACAAACAAACAAACAAACAAACAAACAAACTAGATGTGGCAAACAACTGACATTAATGTCTATATATTCAGGCATATATTTGTATATATGTATATATTCATGGAAAGATGTCTGAAATGAAGGTTACTCACTGTTAGGAAAACATGTATGTGAGCGCTGGGACTATGGGTTACTTCTTCATACACACACATACACACATATATGTGTATGCATATAATATTGAATTATGTTATGAGCACACATTTCCATCAATAAAGCCATTAAAATAAATTTTAAGCTATCTATATTCTTAATAGCTATCATAAATTATCAGGAACCAGGAACTAGGAATTAGGAAGACAGAGAAAGAGAATTTGGCATGAAAACCAGGAAGACTAAAATAAAATTTAGATTTAAAACTGGAGGATGAGGGCACAACATAGACAGTGCCCCTAATCCATTGAGAACAAAGTAGTTATTCTCTGTCTAGCACTCTTACCTATGTTAGCAGTGAAAAGGATAAATGGGATCCCTGCCCTCAAAGAGATTATCATCCTAAATAT